AGGCACAGTGAGGATCACGCGGTCCCCATCCTGGAAGGCGAGTAGCACCGACAGCACCTAAGCGTTTCGTGATCTCCTTCATACTCCTCTGCCAGGTCATGGGTTGGCCACCTCTCTGTTTACGCCACTCCGCTGCATGACAGCAAGAGAATGAGTACACTAACATATTTCGGGCACGGACAGGCATTCTAGCTTTGAGACTAAACGAAAACAGATGATTAATCGTTAACCGGGTTCGGAACTTTACGGCCGGGAAAACTTTGTTCAGACCGGTATAGTCTTCTACTCAGTATGGCGGCCAGTATATCGTCCTTAAACGGGAGGCTAATGTAAACGGGTTTTCTTGCACCTGTGGCGGTGACAGTGTTGGCTTTTCTCTGTTCAAATGACGATGTTGCTGTCGTAAGCGATTTCACACCGTATGCTGCTATTCGCAACGTGTAAAGACCGATGGTAACCTAGGAGAGACGTCGTTCTCAGTACATGTCTGAGAACGCGTCCTGACAGTTAGATTGTGGATTAAATTCCGTTTCTACTTTAGTGGCACGAAGCTGTTAAAGTTGATGTATTGCCCGGACCACGTAGGCTTTCGGTACACCAGTCGTTCCAGTTTACTATCGCTGTTCAAGGACATCTAAAAAGTGGAAGAAATTATCAGTTTCCCCTTCCGAGGTAAATTTGTGTGGACCTCATTTAACTCTTGTTGGAGCGATTCCATCTCGGCTTTATCGTTCAAAGCGCGAAAATACCACCCACCTATCGGCAACAGTATTTTGTCTTCTCTATGCTAGCTAGCGTTTTAGAGATTTTCAAGTTTGCTCGTGAAAATGACGCCTGGCATGGGGCCCGGTGGTGAGCCCATGGCAACACCGTCAACTTGAAGGTAGAGCGTGCCACTGAACAATGGCTGCACATTTAATGTGCAAAACAAGAGCAGCATGTGAAAAGCATGTACCTGTGCTGGCCAAAGCGGAGGCACTGAAAATGCACTGCCAACATATGGCGGTTAGCGGTGGCACTGTAAAGTAAATACATGCTCTACTCTGCTAACGTAAAGCAGTTTCGCGAACTCTCCGTGTGATAATGAAATAGCCGCATAATCACATTAACTTTCAGAATGACGACCGGGACAATAAACAGGTTATTTAGTTAAATTTATCCACGTGGTTCCAACACATAGAAGTACATGGTTTAAGATTTATGGTAAATGTGAGAAGACTTGTTTGTAAGCGAGATGATCGTTTGAATACGTTCCTCATCCTATGCTCTTAATCTATGAGTCAGGTCGGGAGGAGCGTCGAGCTCCAAGATCGCCGATCGAGTGCGTGTGTGTAGCACGTTACCATATAAATTTTGTTTCTTCTGATGAAGAGTGCTCAGCATGGAGTTCATTCAGCTACGATAGCACAGCTAACTGGACGTGCAAGTATCGTAGGAGCCCGGCACATTACCTCAGTTGGCTATAGTAATGTGCTAGAGCGGTATTCAGTAAGTCGCTGGTGGTAGATAAACCAGTAATGTTTTTAATGACACACACTATCCGTAAGGATGCTGCGAATTCTTCGACAGCCCACGACCAGTTCAGCCCCCTTTGGGCTCATCAGGTGGTCACGGTTCCCAAGTTTCCGTTTACCTTATTTTCTACCTGAACCTAACTTGTGCAGAATCCGCGAAATACACTCATTCGCAAAATAATTTGGTCTAATGCAACTCCCTTGGGGCGAGACGGTACAAGTGTTTAGAGCGCAAATTTGCTGACCGGTAGGTCCGTGGTTCTAACCCGATCTCTGCCTCTCCACTTCCCCCGTCTAGGCTTGAGCAACCTGGCAGTATCCCAGTCCTCGTGCTTCCTTCGGGTAGCATGACAGCTATACACCGAAATGAATGCAACTCAGGCCTCGCGTAAGGATTCACGGGATAATCGGTGCAACAGAATGAAATTTTTTCAAGTTCAATCGTGTGAGTGTGCGGATACGACATCGGCCGGCGAGAAAAGCACTTAAATGATCAACTTGACTCACATCAAGACTTACGTTGCTTATAAGAATGTGTTATCCTTCATCAATCTGCTGCAATCGTAGTTTTCTGGGATGATTTTGTTTGAAACCCAGGGTGACACTGATCCATTTCGTCAACGGAAGGCCATCGTGCACGTTCTTCCGGTGTAGACGTTGAAAGGTACGCGCCTGCGTCACTGCGCCGTTCAAGGAATAGAGCATATATGGGCTTCGGTCTGGTGTACATACTGAAAGCTGAGCTTGCTGTCCTTGGTGTGCGAATGAAGATTTTAGGGGATTCATTGTCCTCCAGTTGATAAGTAAGTGGAGAGTAGCTCGTCATGCCAGTTAAATGCGCATCCGATAGTCACCCAACATCGTACGGTGAGTAGCTGAACCGTCTTTACGAAAAAATTTTTAAGGATAAAAGACGTTGTGTGGTGTCCGTGTGGCCTATGGAATTACGCTGCTGCTTGACGTAGATTTGGTCGGTTCTACTTCACGTGCATTTCACTTCCGTAACTGGTTCCCTTGCTGTACTTACTGCTGTGCAGTATCGTGGGTGATCAGGAGTACATTCAACAATAAGCCAGCACCACTGCATACACGGACCTTCCTCCGTCGACTACGTATTTCCTGTACACCATGTCTTGTAATCTCGCCTACGAGCCACTGTCCCCACATATTTTACCAAAAATTCGTTGACTATGTCCCTCTATTGATTGGGATCGGGCGGATGGACTTAAATAAACAACCTATTCAAATGGCGTTGCAGACTTTCGTTTGGTTGTGGCTATTGTATTAGTATATTGAGCATTGGTGGGACAGCTTCAACGGCAAAGCAGAGCAAGTGTATATATGGTCTACAATGCCACCGCTAGCCACGCTAATCACCCCATTCTGGTAATTCAACTGATTTAAGGAATGCATGCTCAACGTCTCCGCTTTATCCAGCACGGCAAACGCTGTTCATTGTTGCTACTGTGAGTATACACCCACATCACTAGGAAAAAAATCGCTCTTCAGAAACTGCAATTTCGCAGTGTAGTTCTCAGTAAGTTTATGTAAGAGTCGTAGTTATGGAAATTGGGTTCAATTCCACCAGCATTCGGGTTTAACGATGAACTGTCAATTGACTGTTGTGGATGGCTTGATAAGCGAAGTGCTTGTTGCAAAAACACTTTGACTCTAGTTGTTGTATTACGATTTCACGATGGCAGTGAGAAACCTGTGGGTGAAGATTTGAAGCCGACACAGATTTTTCACTCAGGAACGACGTTTATAAAAAACAAGAATAGATCACTCACTCCAGTTCTTACGGATTGCGGTGTGGCCTGATGCACGCTACTCTTGGTACCAAATAGTATTCTCAGTGTTCAGTGACGCATTTTTTGACGCGGCTTAGAATTGGAGATTAATTGCATACACTTCCAACGGATCTAACGCAAATTAACCAGACAGACAAAACTCACTAAGCTTCCAGTGCTTATTCTTTAATTGCAAGGAGTGTTCAGAAGTTACCTATACTAGAGCATGACTACAGGCACGCGTGCAAAACTTGGAACATGACTTTACCGTTACAAGCTTGAGAGCGCAAAGAAATGAGCTGTTGTACAGGACACCGGGTGTCACCGACTCCTACCCACTTTTCTGAGAATCTAATGGCTATTTGGACAGAGTTTCATCCTCCCCAACTCTTTCCAATCTTCCGGGTACATTAACAAGTTGGATCCCATTCCTGGTTGGGTGGCTGGGTACCCGAAAGGAAAAGGTTTGAAGCTGACTCAACTGACATCACCTGTTGTGGTAAAAAGACAATAGGTGATTTTATACTCAGAAGAAGCGCTCGTCTGAGAATTCATTTGTGAATGAAATTTGGGGGATGAATCGGATAAGTTGGTGAGCGAAAATTTACGGAAGTTTGCAGGTTTGTGGATCGTCAAACCTTCAATAGCACCATAAGAACAATGGCAATGAAACTGAACAGATGGTGCCCAGCCTGGGTGGACAAATCCACAATCTTTTGCTGCTCGGTTGACGATCCAATAGAAGATAACTGTGAGAAGTAATACCTATTATACCTATTACATATTTACTCAATTATCACTCTGCAAAAGTTTTGCGAGACCAATTTTAAATCGTCTATCTTACTAAAAACTGACTTAACATTATATGACGCGGTTAGCAGAAGAGATATTCAACGCAAATGTAATAGACAGATGTCAAGTACCATTTGCAACAAATTCAAACTCAAGCGAAAGGATGAATCGCCGGATAAAACTTAATAATCAAAGAGCAGCAAGTGGAAATTCCCAATTTCTATAAGATGTGATGACAGAACAGGCGTGGGTACCGAATGGCGGTGTCAGTTCAACGAGCGCACTGCTCAAAGTCTAAGGAACTCAAGATGTAGTCAAAAGAGCTTGAAGATGTTACTTTGAGATCAGAACATCTCGACTACAAAGGGAAATAGACACAACTTTGCTGTGGTAGAAGCAGTCATGATATGCCGGCTAGAAACGGGTCGACACAGATAGAAGATAGTTGTTTCGCTCATTTCCCCTTAGTGAACCTCGAGGACCTCTCCCCACCGTACCCACACGTGCAGCTGTCTCGTCAATATGCACGCTCAACACGCATGGAAACTTCCCGCGTCTCTTCCTTTCTGTGCAACTTCATCCATTTCTCCAGATCAAAACTTACCTAAGTTATCGACTGCTTAATGTGAGTGGGACGTGTCAACAGCTTATCAGAAATTTTTCTTGCGCTGAAGGGACCATGCTCACTCTCGACTACAAGCCACTGTTGAAATTCTTAGAAGCCATTATTCGCCTGACTATACGTTGCGAATCTGGCTGATGAACTATAAATGAAATGTCAATAATGGCGACATCTCACTTCCTGAAACATCGAGGACTTTCGTTTCGGAAAACTTTCAAGTTAGTTAGTGGTTTGTGTTTAGAAATTTCACACGCATGTTGATTTGCCAATAGACATAAAAGATACCCTTCTTGATTAACGCCTCAATTATTAATTTGGACGTCTTCTGAGGAAAGGATTGAGCCTGTAGATTTAGTTAATTACAAAGATTAATGCTCGCAGCTGCACAACTACGAATGAACCAATATATCCCCAGCCATGGTTATCACTGGAGCACGTACGAAACCAACCGATGTCAAAAACATATCAAAGAGCTACGACGTCCATAGTCCATTTCTTTTTAACAACCATGGTCAGAGCTATCCTGGGATGCTTTGCATCAAGGAGCACAGAATGAAGGATTCGCCACGACTAGCACACTACTAAAAAGTCTGGGGACAACGGTTTGTGGATTCCCATGGGTAGGTCCGAAATCTTCTAGTAAACAAGGAATTTAAAAGTCAGTTAAATATGGTGGTGGGTGCCGTGGGTCCAGCTCGATTTGGTTGGGAGTTCAAAGCGCGACCCTCGAAGGGAAGGGTTGTGTTTCGGATCGAGAACTGACTTTTCGATCGGTCCTAAGATTAAGCCATTTTCCTTTATTTGTCGAAAGGTCTGACTGTGCCTCCAGCTAGAATCCCTGAGTTGCTAAATAGAGAGCTAGAGAAACAAAGGGAGAAAAACTGCAACTTTCCTGTTGCACGAGTAGTAATTCCGGCAATAAACGTCGCTTTTTATGGATGTTGGTAGATCTAGTTCAACAAGGCATATCACGGCGTTCTTAAGGCGTAACGTTAACCCTCAACATGTACCTTTGTTTAAAGATGATGTCAATGGGCGAGATGGCTCAGTGGTTACAGCGAGACTTTACTGGGTCGAAGGTCCTTGGTTCGAACCCGACCTTTGCATCTCGGCTCACTCTGTCTAGGCTTGGGCAATCTGGTAGTATCCCAGCCCCCATGCTTTCTTTGGGTGGCATGGAAGCTAGGCACCGAAAGGGTGTTACAGCTGAAAGATTTAGTTTAATTTAATTTTCCAACGAAATCCAAAAGCCTCTAAACTTTAGTACACATCGCTCTTTCATCAGCACTACAGGAAACTACTGAGCCAACGTGCACAACTGGGACGGGGCTGGAAACGGAGCTTGTTCCTGAAGTCACTAAGCTGCTGAGGCGCATTTTGACGTAGGCTGGGTTATATGGACCCGAAAGGGTAAGGAGAAATCGGCACGCCTTGAATCAGCTTTCTAGATGAACAAGAGACAAACGAACGTATAAGTTCAAACGGACCGATGAAGAACACAGCCAGAGGGTCAAATAAAAAAACTACGTCAAACCAAACTGGCCATAATGCCCCGAGAGAATCCAACTAAAACAGCTAGGCCCATGGATTTTTTTAGATGACGACAGGGCAATGCAATTCGGACTAACCGGCGGAAGAGCCCATACCCATTGGTCAGGTGGTATGGCCTCAACTGGGAGTGAATGTGGCGGACACTGATGGGAAGTTTCTCCACACTTTGACCGTCAAGGTTTCCGAAGGGTACCTGAGGCATTAATAGAACCAAAGGAAGATTAGTGGACTATCGGCTGTATAACCGAGATCGTGTTCACCATTGAAATAAAAAATAATGGGTCAATAAATCCGGCTTTCTTAATCATTAAACGCGACTCGGACGCAACAATCATTAATACAGAATCGTTCGACGCAGAAGAAACTTAAGTCGATTGAGCAGTGTCGTACTAGGCATTTAGCAGGTGATTTTGATAGTAAGCTCCTTAATTCAGCCGACAGTCAGTTCACTTGCTGTGTGAGAGGCTGCACTTTCGTCTCAGTCTATAACCTGTCAGTGGTGCACGAACTGAGAGGTTCCGACCACTCCATTCACGTATGAAAGATATCTGGTAATTGAATCGTTATTATTGCTTGTCGCAACGCGTGGCGACGGTCACAGCAGTTGAGGCTGAACGAACGGCCGATCTAAGCACCAAGTCCGGAGGCCAGTCCGAACATCACACCATTTGGAAGGATGGTCACGTGCAGGATACGGACCAAACGAAAGCATGCTCTGATTAATAAGAATACCAGCCAATCCGGATCGAGCATCTTTAACTCGACGCTTCTCGTCCCCTCACGGAGATTCTAGCACGACCTTGTGGAACATTCTGTCATTGCCCTATAAATACTACAATAATTTTTCTTCGTCTCCATGAAGGGCTGTCTAAAGCTACCGTGCCTTTTGATACACCATAGTGGACGGAGCATGAAGCTAAGGGACTGATACAGAGTTGCACGACTGTTCAGCAAGACAAAACACACTGGCTCCATGTAATGGGGAGGCTGAACAAAGGTTACCTCCAATAAGCGTAATATCCATGGACTATGGTAGCTTTTCGAACAGTTTGTCACTCAATAGTGAAATAAAACCATCTGCTTGTTTGAACGCAAATAATGAAGTGATTATTTGGAGGGAAACCCACGCTATCCAGAGCAAACGACATGGATACTTATGAATCATACGAAACGAGTGGGGAAATCGTTAGCTCGCGTTGCATACCAGTGAACATTTGTAGGATAACGCAAATTCAATCAACAAATTGATGAAAATGTGGACATCAACTAGCATGCAACAACCAGTTATCACAAGATGCAACCATTCTGCCGTACGGAGATCAAACTTGGGGACGCCATTGGCAGTGGTCACTTTATGGGAGAAACATAACTTATTACGAATCGCTTTCCCTTATCTTGTACTAAGGATGGTTCATGCTTTGTTACAATGCGCTTATCACGCGATTACGCTGATTTATCCTAACGAGCTTACGAATGAATGCTGCTTCTACAAAGCATTTTTCTACTTGTACTGTATCGAAAACCATTGGTTATCACATATATATCAGGCATACACTCATAAGCAAAGATAAATAATATAAAGTCACGCGTTTTAGTCAGTTTGCCCGGAACCGCAAAGACGCATCCGAAAGGATGAAAAAACAACCATTGTTGCATTAGGTTCTGATGGATCTTCCATCCGGATGGTACTAGTTCGTTTTCTCTTAGAGAACTTCATCATGTAGTATCCATCGCATCTAAGGTACCCTCTGGCATTAATTTGCGCAGGTTGGTCGATTATTGGGAGGGGCAGATTCGTAAGAATGAAGCTGTGTTTTGCCCTGGCCGAGGATTCATCGACCATATCTTTAACTTGAAACAGACTCTTGAACAGTGCCACTCCTTCAGAAGTCCCATATTGGTCATTTTTATTGATCTGAAAGCTGCTTTAGACTCTATCAATTTTCGGAAACTTTAGTAGTGTCTAGCGTTCAGAGGTGTCCCTTCCCTTATGAGGGTACTGTATGCGAACTAGTGCGGGCGCGTACGAGTATACGAGATGCTCTCGCCTGAGCTCACTACGTCCAGTGGTGTACGGCAAGGCTACCCTCTCTCGCCTTTCCTCTTCAACTGTGTTATTTCTGTGCTGCTTGAAATTTCTCTACCTGCCTCTGAAAGTCGAAAGTCTCACGGGACATTCACTTACAGACATTGAGTAAGCGGACGATATTGCTCTCCTTGATTCAGATCTCCCGTAGATGCAAACGACTTTAAATAACCTAAATAACTCTGCCGCACGCTTTGGCATGTGCTTCACACATGCAAAGTGTAAATTGCTGCTACAAGACCGGGTTGGATCGAATCCACATCTCATGCTTCCAAGCGAGCCAATCGATGTGTTTACTTGGGCAGCTATATAAGCTCCCGTGCGCTGGCTGGAGATAAGATTATTTATCGAATCAGAAAAGCCAGGACAGCTTTTGCCAACCCCCGACACCTATGACGCTGACCTGATGCTCGTCTGTCAAGAGCACAGTCTGCACTGCAGCGGTGCGATCCATATTGCTTTATGAGAAACTTGGCTCTACCTGCCTCTGAAAGTCGAAAGTCTCACGGGACATTCACTTACAGACATTGAGTAAGCGGACGATATTGCTCTCCTTGATTCAGATCTCCCGTAGATGCAAACGACTTTAAATAACCTAAATAACTCTGCCGCACGCTTTGGCATGTGCTTCACACATGCAAAGTGTAAATTGCTGCTACAAGACCGGGTTGGATCGAATCCACATCTCATGCTTCCAAGCGAGCCAATCGATGTGTTTACTTGGGCAGCTATATAAGCTCCCGTGCGCTGGCTGGAGATAAGATTATTTATCGAATCAGAAAAGCCAGGACAGCTTTTGCCAACCCCCGACACCTATGACGCTGACCTGATGCTCGTCTGTCAAGAGCACAGTCTGCACTGCAGCGGTGCGATCCATATTGCTTTATGGATCAGAAACTTGGCCTCCGGGTGCAGAGGACATACAAAAGATGAGTGTTTGACCATCGGTATCTTCGAAGCATTGGTCAGATGTGGTGAGAACATCGAACCAGTAATGCTGAAGTACGCCAGATGGTCCTAGAAGAATGACCTTTGGCGCAATAGATGAATTACTCACGCTCCATAGGTTACGCTGATTAGGACATGTGCTCCGCATGCCAGAAGACCGTCCGTCTCACAGAGCCGTTTTCGCCTAGCCCTGTGCTGAGTGGGAGTGGCCGAGGGATAGGCAGTGTACGACCTGGCAACGAAGTGTGAATACATTAACCAGTAAAGTTAGTCGGGTCGACAACTCCTCCTCTCTGGATGGGGACCTCGAGACACAGCTCTCCATGGTTAATAACCTGACAGAAATGATGCTCGTCTGTCAAGAGCACAGTCTGCACTGCAGCGGTGCGATCCATATTGCTTTATGGATCAGAAACTTGGCCTCCGGGTGCAGAGGACATACAAAAGATGAGTGTTTGACCATCGGTATCTTCGAAGCATTGGTCAGATGTGGTGAGAACATCGAACCAGTAATGCTGAAGTACGCCAGATGGTCCTAGAAGAATGACCTTTGGCGCAATAGATGAATTACTCACGCTCCATAGGTTACGCTGATTAGGACATGTGCTCCGCATGCCAGAAGACCGTCCGTCTCACAGAGCCGTTTTCGCCTAGCCCTGTGCTGAGTGGGAGTGGCCGAGGGATAGGCAGTGTACGACCTGGCAACGAAGTGTGAATACATTAACCAGTAAAGTTAGTCGGGTCGACAACTCCTCCTCTCTGGATGGGGACCTCGAGACACAGCTCTCCATGGTTAATAACACTGACAGAAATGGCCCAATCGCGCAGTCAGTAGCGCTCATGTACCAATCAATGCGAAGCTAGCCGATCCCCGAACTAACTGAACATGCCATCGTCTGTAAGGCTTGGCCGTATCTCCCCCGTTGTCTTACTTTCCGGTGATCAAAACTGTAGCGGTTGGAACCATTGGGTCTATGGTACAAGGTTTATATCCGACAAACTGATTGATTGATTGAGCTACTCATCACTCACCCAAAAGACTTGCACTTTCGCTAAGGTGTATTTAAAGGCTTAACTTCGTGAGAACGAAGTCTTTTTATATAGTTATTTGGAGTTACTCAACCCTACTTATCGCTTCTTTCATGAGTAGCACGCGCGTCATCGATCAATGACATAATTTACGCAACTCGTTTACTAAACACTGATCAATCACGTTACTTCAGTGCTTTGTTGCACGCGCGCAAACCGTCTTGGTTGCATGTAGTAACTAACGTACGTCATCGCAACCTTCAAATGAAATAGATCGAAAGCAAACATTTTCAAATTGATTGAAAAGTAGATAGTGTTTTCAAATCGAGTGGAAATTTTACATACTTCATGGATTATCTTAGGACGGTCTGTAGGATCTGGAAATACAACCGATAAGTTCTTTTAAGTTTACCGAGCTGTTTACCAGGGAAGGGTAGTTTTTATTCAGAGGAAACAGAATCACCAAACTAAAGTCTTTACCATACAGGCGTTCTGGGAAGAAAAATCCTGAAACCCTTCTATGATTAACAGGCATTCAGAGAAACAAGCCACGTTGGGGGAGCAACGGAAAATTACTAAGATGCGGGCATCCTGTCTAATCATACGAACTGACTAGCTGAGTCAATGTAAGATGGCAGCACCCCAGTAAAAGAGCGGTGATTGAGTGTGACTCAACAGGATGTTGGTAAAACACCTCCAAACCTCTACAAGAGGATACCATAAGGTGGATCCACATTATAGGACGAATAACTTACGAAGCTACTGAATAGAAGCGTTAGCCCAATTATGCCAACAACCACAACGCCTGCCAGTTCGACACAATTCCGCCATAGTTTTGGGGCTTTCAGAGCGCTGAATGAGTAGAAATGAAGGGGAAATGCAGGTGGTTAAGAGAAACTAAAAAGATCAATTCAGTGTATTGATGTTTTCTACGTTCTCACACCCGTATTCCTCAATCCCGGTTAAATAACTTACCATACCAAGCTGCAGTAAACCTGGATTGCAAAAAGGGCCACAGCAGCATAAATGATGTAGCTCACCGCGTGTGTGAGGAAGTGGTTGAACTGCGTCTTTGTAAAGCCTGATGGAAAGTAAAAAAAATCAGATCTGTTGTGATAAGCTATGCCAAAAAGACATCAACAATTGAGTACGACGCAGTTGTTGTACAAAGTACGGTGTGATTAAGCATAGAACAAACACTGTCACCATGTTTTATGGAGGATCTCCAAAGGGGTAATTCATTCAAGGAAAGGATGAAGTGCCCAGGTCACACACCAAGTCGAATTACACAGGAAAACCGGATAGGCTATTTATAGTGACTGTTACCTTCTTGCACATGAATAATGTGTATGTCAATTGTTCCTGAACTAACACAAGAGTGCGTTTTGAATAACACTTCTAAAGCGTGATTATCCGCCATTAAGTTCTGCCCAACGGAGCTGAAATAAAATACACCGGAAGGCGTGCGCAGGAGGAATAAGGCATTGGGCGTGGGTACAAACTCCACTCTTAAACGGGGAACAGTCATATAGTAACTCGGAAAATGTAGATGGATTTGTGTTCTGGTGAGGAGAATCACAGAAATAGTGAAGGAGAAATATTGGTCAATTGATTTATGCCACTAATGTTGCACTGGGATTTTGAAATCAGGGGAGAGGAATAGAGACCGGGGTTGAAAATCATTGAACTTTGTACACAATGTTTATTTGATGAATGGTAGACCATTATCCCGACTCAGGTGCTTGAAGTGGCAAAACGCATGGGGTTCGTAGAATCTGGTGGTTGGTACTTGGCTTTGCTTGACTGCTCTTATATGATGAAACTTCAGAAGGATAATCGTTTACTCCCATATCCACAGAGGAGGAAGAGACTTTTGCCAAATGGCTTTTTTCGCTGCAGTCTGCCTCGAATACAAGGTATCTAAGTCCCAAAGGCGATACTTCACTATCTGAGCAACAATGAAGAAACACTGCTTATCAATTCTAAAAAGAGCGAGGTCCGAGTCCAGCACTCTTCCACATTGTTTTAGAACAACCAGAATAACCACTACTGCTCAAACCAGGGTAATGTGAATAGGAGTACAAATTTCGAAACTACTAGGCGATATTCCATACGTCGGTATCAAAGTGATAGGAACATTCCCATTCGGTAGTCAAGTGGCGCTTCTTTAACATCAAAACTCTCGTGCACCGAAGTTAGTGGCTTGAAGGCAATAGGCTGATTTCACGCTCCAAAAGCGTAAGTGCGGACGCTGGAAACGGAAAGTTACTTCTTTGCTGTAGTTGATGCTGTCGTCCTAGAGTCGCAGGAAACTAGGATCAGCATAGGCAAATATGAGTTGGGATTGTTCCGTCACAATATGGGTTTCATCTGATCAAACGTCAGTTACTAGGAAGAGGAATCACTATAGACCGAACACGGTGGATGTGACGCAGGAATTGCACTGGGCATGGGACAGGGTCATAAATGTCAGTGTCCTCAGCCAGAGAAGTGGACTACCAAAATAAGTGGCATCACCTACGAGCACATTCATTTTTAATTGGCCCAACGGTGTGCAGCCCCCGGATTCGTACACCTTTATCTTCACTACAACGTCCATATTAGGGAAAAAGGAAAGAGAATTCGCTCAAAAAATGATATCGTAATGATGTGATATTGTGCAAATTCAGTGGTTGTCCTCACAAGTGTCGTTGAAAACGGGTCAAACCTTGAAATGTGCGAACCTTCTCGCCAGGCAACTTGGTTACTTCAGTCGCAGCAGCAGGGAATAATAGCTTTTGTGAAAGACAAACTAAACAAACTGAGTGTGGTTGATCTGATGGTCGAAACATTCAAACAATCGACTTGAAAGAAGCTAAAAGGTCGCCTTCATGACACTCACAGAACAGAGGGAGGCTGGGACACAAGCGAACTGCGTCAGAATAGCAGAAAGGGGATGCGAAGAAGTGATGGACACGCGTAGAGAGGTTAGGATGGGAGACTTCCAAAATGATAGCTAAGAGCAATTTCGAACAAGAATTTTTCCAGGATAGTCAAGGGAAAGCAACTTACCGACAGAGGAAGCAATGGTATATCCCGGAGTCACACGAAAATTGAACAAGTATCCACCAACCGCCAGAACAGTGCCGATAATAATTAGAGAAAGTAAGTTGGACAATGTGGAAGAGATTCCAGTTGTTTTGCGTCTCCCTAAAAATACGACCAATGGGTACTCAGGATAGTTACAGGTCCACGGCTGTATAGAAGGACGATTCCATTGACTAGATAGTGCTTTACAAGATTCGTACAAACGGCTTGCCATCAGCAAGTAACGTCAAGTGACGGTCACGCTACTGACTATGATGGATGACCACTGATTTTGGATGGGTAGCTGTCATCACATGCAGTACGAGGTTGTTTTAAAAAGGGTAATAGGACGGCCACATTGATTAGTAATAGCCAAATTAACCGAGATAAGCAACCGATGGTGGATACTATAGTATACAAGGTACGCTCTACGACGAAACCAACATATGGCAACCTTGATGACGGATGGTTTGAACCTACCGACAGAGGTCTGAGAGTTACATAAATTACTGTCAGTCCCAAAGGTACTGTGATCTTGTTACGGTTCTGTCACGCAGCGAGCAAACAATATGATAATGCGGATTGTGGCAATACTCTATCCCCAGCTATGTTGCTTGATCCAGACTCCTAGCAAGGCGAATAGTAAGAAGACGAAAACCTCGGACACAAACTTTAATGATCCAAAAACACGCGATCAACAGGCGATGCCCCGAGCTTCCGAACCCAAGTCAGTGGTCGGATTTAAATTTCCTTGGAGTATCAATAGGCCATTGATTTTTCATAGTTTGACCTTGAAGATGCCGGGAGTTCGCTAGCACACAAAAACACAGCGTTTTCTGGGGGATATTGATATCCCCAACAGATCTAACTCCTGCGGACGAAAAGCCGTGCATGTGTTCACCACAGACAGTGATGAGGCGCGGCTGTCCTGTTTCACTCTTCCGCTTCCACTGTGTTGTTGTTGTGACGCTGCACACTTTAGTACATGCGCACGACAGCTGTGGAACAAAAATGGACTAACGACCGTTGAGTAGACAACTGATATAGACACCTCGGGGTGAGGTTCTTTAGAAATACAATGACTTCAGTAAGTTAGACAATTGTACCGCACACCTGCAGTTTCACTCCAAGATTGCGTCGGACACAACTCGAACTTCGGGTCTGCAAACTAGGCAATCAACAAAGTCAAAATATCGAACTACCGCCTACGAAAGACGTTCTTCATATTCCTGCTATGACCATTTTCGAATGAATTCACAAGCTTCCGGCAGTTACAGCTGAGGTAAAATTTCCCCACGTCATCAGCCATGCCGTTCGTTCTCCAAATTTGAAGGATATATACTAGACAAAACACAATTCACGAGGTTGCTGAAAGCCCTTCGCGACATATCAGGGCATATCAGGACATATCAGGCGCAGTCCCCGGGTTTACGTCAAACCTATGCTCTACTTGAAAACAAACTGGACGCAATTCACGCAATACACTCAGTTGCCAACTAATTCGGTTGTTCCGAGCACATTAGTGGCAGTGGTGGCGGATGCTTTGTGCATAATTGGTCCTCATCCCACTTTAAAATAAGTTCATTGACTTTCCGTGGCTTATCGCTTTCTTCGACACCATGACTGTCTTCAGAGGATAAGTATACAGACCACCCAACTCAGCCGCCTCCTCACTGGTACGTCTTATTTATGCAACGTACCATGGCACTGGAAATTAATACGTCTTCGAAATTCTCGGTATCTCATGATCAGTCCCGTAGTATGGAGATGGTAAACGAGCGGTTGAGCATATAATAAGAGGTTATCGTGTGTTCATCAGGACGAATAATACAGAACAGGAACTAGATTATGTCTCAGGCGGTCTAACCAGAACTGGCCCAGTTTGATCATCCTATATCTTCAGTCATGTCTTCACCATAGAATGATTTTCGTCCGGCAATTGACAGGTATATACGTATGTGTGTTTACCATGCAATATTTTCTATTCCACTACTCGCTTGCCGCGATTCGGCTTCGCAGAATGCATGTGTGCAACGGTGTGTTTACCCAACACGACAGGCATAAAACTGTGCTCACAACCGGCGACATGTAGTGATTTGAAATTCAAAAAATCGAGTAACGCATGGTTGGAGAAACGGGTGCATTGAAGCTGTCATCTTCAATTTGTAGACGTCCAGTTCGCGAACTAACTGGGCATGCCATCGAATTCAACGCATGGCTGTATCTCTCACGTTCTCTCACTTTCCGGTGATCGAAACATTAGCAGCTGGAACCAATGTACCCATGGTACATGTTTTACAGCTGACAGAACTGAATTTCTCACTTTCCGGTGATCGAAACATTAGCAGCTGGAACCAATGTACCCATGGTACATGTTTTACAGCTGACAAATTGAACTGAATTGACTGTAACGACCGGATCAATTGTACTTAGTTACAATTTATAGCCGAATCATTGAAGATGATTAGATGATGAACAACCACATCTATGGTTGTTTTGTGCCTCTTTTCGATAGGACCACAAAAGTATCTTGCAAACCTTGGGCTGGAAGGTAACAGAAGTTCACTATGAATATCCTAAGAATGCTCTGCTTAAGTGAGCACTACTCGTCACGCACTTCTGAAGTTAGTAGCAAAACGTAACTCAACAGTAGACAACAACTTAACGTCTGCAACGCAACCGAACCATTACTGGATGTACTCCGCCACTTGGGTCCTGGAAGCCCTACCTGTCGTATATCTCAGCCAGATATCTCAACCTTAAGGTTATAAAACCTCATAGAGCACCGGACGGCCCCCCACACACGGAATTATCAAAGTAAGGTGGAAGTCTAATCGGAATAGAAGTTCTAACACGTGGCAAGAAAGTCACTACTAAGCAGAAGGTGTCAAACGGTGAAATTTTAGAGCTCACTGATATTGAAGTCTTCGTCCTTAAGCAGTGAGTAGCACAGAGCCATTGTGAGCAGGTTGAAGAAGTTGAAATTTCCAGTTAGAATGATAAGCCCCTGTAATAGCAGCTGAAAAGAGAGGGTGTAAAAATGAGTAAATCCCAAATTGGCGTAAATTAGCACGAAAGTAGTCATCTTTGCTGGTTATACACACTAATGGTGTGGTTATCTATTCAACACTTGATTCGCGCTAATTTACCATCAGGTATGCACAACAGAAACTTATTGGCAGGATTTCGCAGACATCACTGGAGAAAACGTCATTACAATGGAAAAATTTTTACCTTTAGCGAATGCCGTTTAAGTTCCATTGAGATTCCTGCCGCAACAAATTGTCTCATGATCTCACGGGATGAACAGTTTGTGTTGGACCGAACGATTGCTCAGGGCCAGTGAGGTGATTACGTAGAGAGCCCTCCCTAGAAATGTTTTATCTGTCAAAGGATGCACATAAACCACTCAACACTGTGGGTTCGTCACACGTTTGCGCAGTACTTTGAAAGGGCATTTGGTCAGATACTGCGCTGCTAATTTCGAATTGCGACCCAACGATGCCCTAACCTAACATCATAACCCAAGCTACTTTGGGATTTCTCGTCGTGACAGCTAGCTGCACTTTCCATCGTGAAGTTGAAGTTGGTTGCGTAGTGCGACTGGATTTAAACACGTGGCAACTACACGTTATCGTCACAAATTTCTTGGGTTGGGTATTTCACGTTTCCTGGCCTTGTAAAGGCGCATACGACTTTGAGAAACAATTTAGCCCGATTCTGAGTGATACTTCCCGACGTACATGTCCAGCACAGGCTTTTTAAAGCGTACCACCGAAGAATTGCACGTATGTTTTTGGCGGGTAGTGTAAGGGCACAGTGACCCGCGGTTACACAGTCGGTTGAGACATGATGAAACGCGTCTTACAACTAAAACGACGTGCATCAGCCGACGTATTCGACACTTTCAAAAGCCTCTAGCGCCTAAAAGAAAATTATAAGTTGAAAGAAATTTCCGGAACAAAGTTTTTGGCAATATTTCATGCAGATGCATCCCAAAATTTGAGGAGAGCATATGCTAATCAACGTAAACATGATCTGTATTGCAATCTGACTCGAACCCCCAATGTTAGCTTTGTTAATACTGTGCTCATCTGAATACCTGGACAAGTCCCGGATGTAAACTCAAAATACCAACAACTTGGTGCTTTGGTCTCTTCAGAGGCCCCTCAATAAAAAATAGTCATCAGAAGGTTCAAACTTAAGTCACTCGTTAAAACAGCGCGAGCGATCGGTAATCAGACTTTCTGTGTGGCGCGTCGAGATCGGCAACATCTACAAAATTACTTATCGGATTATGCTCCTGAATGTCTATCAGAAACCGGGTCACCTAAGAGACACATCCAGTAATATGTTGCGAATTAGGCGCATCACAGCCCGTGCACATGTCTGCTTACTTCTAGAGCTCTCTAGTCCTAAAATTTTATGCAGTGTTTTAACCCGAAAAATAATCGCAACAGGTCATCACAACTCGCACTCAGTTCCACAAGCATAATACTCGCCAATGGTATATAAACTGTTTGTCATGGAGAGGCAATGTAGAACTGGTAGCAGACAGTTCGCAAATACAAATAAAACTGATCAACCTACCTGACTGTAGAAGGAGAACAATCGAATAAGTCGTAGCGGAACGAAGAAGAGAAGCGGCAGCAAGATCTCGATGATCAGAGTGCTCGCCACAGAGAAATTATGCATCCAACCAGGTAAGTGATGCGCATGCCAAGCAACCGGATTCGGGATGCACTATGGAGAAAGTGTGGGGTTTTGAGAAGACTGAAACTCGCCATCAGTTAGAATGGCTTATTCGGAAAAAAACCACTAAATCCACTTTCTTTTTCTGAACGTCTCAGCTCCCATGTCAACAAACTGGATTGAAATTCCATACCATACTGATGACCAAACAAATGCCATACTTGGATTCCGAACAAAAAGTAAACACGAGTTAAGATGAAAAACCTACCCTGGTGGTTTGAAGTGCTAAGAAACCTTCCAGTTGTGCTACAAACAAGGGTCTATTTTATCATTCTCGTTAGTTTTTCCTGACCCACAGGCATCACATGCAGGTGTAGGTGATGGATACCTATCCTCCTTCTCATCGTCATAATTACTATCAGCTGTGAAAAAACCGCGTACTTGCCGTACAGATACCACAGTTTCGTTCGCCACACTAGATAAAAGACAGAGCAGTCGCACTGACCAACTTTCAGAGGAAGGTTTCCGCCGGCCCCAAAATATAATTCAGTCCGACAAATTACCACACGCCAAGTCGAAATTAGTGGCCAAAGAAATGGAAGAAAAGAATGCCGGAAACGCATTGATCCGTCCGACCGGTCCCGGAAACCAACGATGATGGAAACGACCACGGATAAAATTGGTATGACCATCTTCAATAAGGAACGCCTTCACCAATAGGGCAAACCACAGTAAATGGATTCCAGGACTGCGGTACAAACTTGAACGCTGAAGAGGGAAACAATCATTCAGCTGTAGCACCTTTTCGGTGCCTAACTACCATGCCACCCGAAAGAAGCATGAGGGCTGGAATACTGCCAGGTTGCTCAAGCCTAGATAGGGGAAGTCGAGAGGCAGAGATCGGGTTCGAACCACGGACCTTTCGGTCAGTAAATTTGCGCTCTAACAAATCAGCTATCAAGCTGAACATGGAACCCACACCACCTTCGAAGGTTTGACAGCATAGGTTATATTAAGAGCCACCGAGCTCCTGGTTCATATGACCACCCAGTCGCATTGTTCAAGGTTGGGGGTGAAGTCCTCAGTCAGCGCTTGTCTGATCTCTAACTGGGAGGAGACTGCCCAAGATGCAAAGAATACTGCCAGGTTGCTCAAGCCTAGATAGGGGAAGTCGAGAGGCAGAGATCGGGTTCGAACCACGGACCTTTCGGTCAGTAAATTTGCGCTCTAACAAATCAGCTATCAAGCTGAACATGGAACCCACACCACCTTCGAAGGTTTGACAGCATAGGTTATATTAAGAGCCACCGAGCTCCTGGTTCATATGACCACCCAGTCGCATTGTTCAAGGTTGGGGGTGAAGTCCTCAGTCAGCGCTTGTCTGATCTCTAACTGGGAGGAGACTGCCCAAGATGACTGCAAAGAATAGGCAATAGTATCCAGTTTCAAACAATGGCCACATCATCCTCATCCTCATCCTCATCCTCATCCTCATCCTCATCCTCATACACCTCTCCGCTCCCGCCGCTCAGAATTGGGCATGGGAAACATCACTCTCTTCGGCAAACGATGCTTAGGTATTTGCAACCTATACGTATAAACAGCCCACACTTTTGGTATTTCTGGATTTCCAGGACACATTTGACTCATTTAACTCTGTTTCCCTCGACACTTGCTCAACTCGAGATAGTCCATTGGTGAAAAAACACGAACTTACTTACCACAAGGTTTGTTGTTCGAACGCAATTTCAGCATTTCAAGTGCTTGGGCAACCTGACATCAACACGAGAAGATCGGTGGTGCCTGAAAGAACATATGCAGTCATAAACCTCCGAGGCCCTAGGCGGCTCCACGTTCACCGTCCAGGGTTCTAAGTCAACGGTGGCCTCTGGTGGCCGCAATAACTGTTGTTCGAAGTATTCGGCCCACCAGTCGAGGCGTTCATTATTTAAGACGGTTACCCCTTCTGATGCTTGATGGTTTCGGTAACAGGAGGTTTCTGCTGTCCGGTCGCGCGGATCAACTGAAATAATCTTCGGGAATAACCGGCTTTCTGGGCATCCTCCAGTTCCTTGGATTCCGCTGTCCAAAACGTTTCATGGTTGGCTCGCACGTTCACTTTCACTGGACGTATGATAAATCGTCGAGTCAAGATATGTAGGGAACCGCTTGGGCTATTCCACCAAATTTAAGCAGTGCAACCCGTGCACTAAGCCCTTATCGCACCACCATCAATCAAATGGCCAAGCCGAGAGATTTGTGGATACTTTTCAACGAGCACTGTTGAAATCTCGAGGGGAGGGACCAACGTACGATCTATCTCCAAAAGGGGGAAATGTCAGGGCGCGCCCAGACAGAAGAAAAAGCACATGTGCACAGAGTGACGCATCCCCAAGGTCACCATCGGTTCGACACGTCCGGAAAGTAGGTGAGTCGGCGGCTCCCACCAAACACGGCCTAGCAACACACGACCAGCGTAGTGGGCCTGAGAATGTTCACGACCGGAACACCACCATTGGCTGTACGGAGCGAACAAGTGAACGACCATATTTGGCCAATTAGTCATCCTATATATTTACGCAGACGCTCTGTATGTTTTGTCCTGGCAATACAGCCGTGTCCCCAGTTCTCTGTCTTCTCCCTATCGCGTAGTCTGGCAGGCTCAGTGCAGGCGTAACCAATAGCTCGGCCACCGCGCAAGATACAACACTGGAAGCTGGGGTGTTCACAATGGCAATTTCATTCGAACAGATGCAGTCTCTCTTCAGACAGCAGCAGCAACAGTTTGAGCTGGCGCAGTTGAAGCTCATCGAGACACTCACTGAAAAATTGTCACTTCAGAAGCCGATTAGCCAGACCATTGAGCCGTCCACTTCAGTGATCGACACGATGCTCAACGCGATCCCTGAGTTCCAGTTCGATCCGATCTCATGCATTAATTTTGATTCTTGGTTCAACAAGCATGAAGACTTTTTCAGATTGGATCTGGGAAGCAAAGAAGATTCTTGGAGAGCAAGACAGTTGGTCAGGAAAATTGGAGTGGCCGAACATGAACGCTTTACGAATTATATTTTGCCACGAAAACCAAGTGATCTGACTTTCCATGAAACCGTTGCTGTTTTATCGTCAATCTTCGGGGAACAGGCTTCCTTGCTCAGCCGTCGATTTCACTGTATGAATTTGAGCAAGAATGCTTCTGAAGATTGGGTTACATACGCGGGCAAAGTCAACAAGGAGTGTGAACGTTTCAACCTCCAAAGCATGACAGAGGATGAGTTCAAATGTCTTATATTTGTGTGCGGGTTGACATCTCCTGAAGACGCAGACATAAGAACAAGAATCCTCAGCAAGATTGAACAGAAACCAGAAGTCACATTACACAATATTACGTCGGAATTGCAGCGCCTAATGAATTTGAAGCGTGATACTGTCATGATACAGGAAAATGGCCCCAGCAATGCTGTTCATGCGATTCAGAAGCATACTGTCCGTCGGGGTGACAACAAACCACCTTCGGCATGCTGGAAATGTGGTGAGTGGCATTTCGTAAATTTTTGTCCGTTCAAAAGACACCGCTGCAACAGGTGCTCCCGTACTGGACACAAAGAAGATCGGTGTCATGGCGGGAGAAGGCAAGCAACCAAGGGGCATTCTCGAACTAGAACTTCCAATTCCAAGTTTCCGAAGGTTTGCGTTGGTCTGGTCGCTCATCAAAGCCCACACGTAAACAGGAGGAAATACGTATCACTACGTATTAACAGCAAACCTGTTCATCTCCAGCTGGACACGGCATCAGACATTACGATCATCTCAAAAAGAACCTGGAAATTTCTTGGCAGCCCAGCTTTAACCAGGACCAAACAAGTTGCACGCACTGCATCCGGAAGTTGACTGAAACTCTCTGGTGAGTTCAAATGTTCCATGACTCTTGATGGTATCAATGTAAGTGGCATTTGTCATGTGTCCGATCGTGCTGGATTGGATTTGTTAGGATTAGATTGGATTGACAAGCTAAACCTTTCGGACAGGCCACTGAATACCATCTGTTACAAGACACAGGCGACAAAAGCAAACATATTCAAGAAGCTGCCTGACTCGTTTTGGAAGAGGAACTCAGAAGGTCGCAACCCGTGCACTAAGCCCTTATCGCACCACCATCAATCAAATGGCCAAGCCGAGAGATTTGTGGATACTTTTCAACGAGCACTGTTGAAATCTCGAGGGGAGGGACCAACGTACGATCTATCTCCAAAAGGGGGAAATGTCAGGGCGCGCCCAGACAGAAGAAAAAGCACATGTGCACAGAGTGACGCATCCCCAAGGTCACCATCGGTTCGACACGTCCGGAAAGTAGGTGAGTCGGCGGCTCCCACCAAACACGGCCTAGCAACACACGACCAGCGTAGTGGGCCTGAGAATGTTCACGACCGGAACACCACCATTGGCTGTACGGAGCGAACAAGTGAACGACCATATTTGGCCAATTAGTCATCCTATATATTTACGCAGACGCTCTGTATGTTTTGTCCTGGCAATACAGCCGTGTCCCCAGTTCTCTGTCTTCTCCCTATCGCGTAGTCTGGCAGGCTCAGTGCAGGCGTAACCAATAGCTCGGCCACCGCGCAAGATACAACACTGGAAGCTGGGGTGTTCACAATGGCAATTTCATTCGAACAGATGCAGTCTCTCTTCAGACAGCAGCAGCAACAGTTTGAGCTGGCGCAGTTGAAGCTCATCGAGACACTCACTGAAAAATTGTCACTTCAGAAGCCGATTAGCCAGACCATTGAGCCGTCCACTTCAGTGATCGACACGATGCTCAACGCGATCCCTGAGTTCCAGTTCGATCCGATCTCATGCATTAATTTTGATTCTTGGTTCAACAAGCATGAAGACTTTTTCAGATTGGATCTGGGAAGCAAAGAAGATTCTTGGAGAGCAAGACAGTTGGTCAGGAAAATTGGAGTGGCCGAACATGAACGCTTTACGAATTATATTTTGCCACGAAAACCAAGTGATCTGACTTTCCATGAAACCGTTGCTGTTTTATCGTCAATCTTCGGGGAACAGGCTTCCTTGCTCAGCCGTCGATTTCACTGTATGAATTTGAGCAAGAATGCTTCTGAAGATTGGGTTACATACGCGGGCAAAGTCAACAAGGAGTGTGAACGTTTCAACCTCCAAAGCATGACAGAGGATGAGTTCAAATGTCTTATATTTGTGTGCGGGTTGACATCTCCTGAAGACGCAGACATAAGAACAAGAATCCTCAGCAAGATTGAACAGAAACCAGAAGTCACATTACACAATATTACGTCGGAATTGCAGCGCCTAATGAATTTGAAGCGTGATACTGTCATGATACAGGAAAATGGCCCCAGCAATGCTGTTCATGCGATTCAGAAGCATACTGTCCGTCGGGGTGACAACAAACCACCTTCGGCATGCTGGAAATGTGGTGAGTGGCATTTCGTAAATTTTTGTCCGTTCAAAAGACACCGCTGCAACAGGTGCTCCCGTACTGGACACAAAGAAGATCGGTGTCATGGCGGGAGAAGGCAAGCAACCAAGGGGCATTCTCGAACTAGAACTTCCAATTCCAAGTTTCCGAAGGTTTGCGTTGGTCTGGTCGCTCATCAAAGCCCACACGTAAACAGGAGGAAATACGTATCACTACGTATTAACAGCAAACCTGTTCGTCTCCAGCTGGACACGGCATCAGACACTACGATCATCTCAAAAAGAACCTGGAAATTTCTTGGCAGCCCAGCTTTAACCAGGACCAAACAAGTTGCACGCACTGCATCCGGAAGTTGACTGAAACTCTCTGGTGAGTTCAAATGTTCCATGACTCTTGATGGTATCAATGTAAGTGGCATTTGTCATGTGTCCGATCGTGCTGGATTGGATTTGTTAGGATTAGATTGGATTGACAAGCTAAACCTTTCGGACAGGCCACTGAATACCATCTGTTACAAGACACAGGCGACAAAAGCAAACATAT